AGGGCCCCCAAAAAAAAAAAAAAAAATAAAAAAAAAAAAAAAAATTTTTTTGGAAAATTTTTTTTTTTCCCCCCTTTTTTTTTTTTTTTCAGGGAAATTTTTTTTTTTTTTTAAAAGGGTTTGGAAAAAGGGAAAAAAAAAAAAAAAAAAAAAAATTAAATTTTTTTAAGAACCAAATTTTTTCCCAAAGTTTTTTCTTTTTTTTTTTTTTTTTTTGGGGAAAAATGGGCAAAAAAAAAAAAAGGGCCTTAAAAAAGCCCCCCCAACCTCCCGAAATGGGAGAGAGAAAAACCCAAACTTTTGATTTTTTTTTTTTTTCCCAGGGTTAAAAAATTTGGGGTTTTTTTTTCCCGCCCAAAGGGGGAAAAGGGGAAAAAAAAAAAAAAAGGTTAGGAAAAAATTTCTTGTTTTTTGGGTTTTTAAAATTTTTCATTCTGCCATAAAAAACCAAAAAGGTTTGGGTATGGGGAAAAAAAAAAAACCCAAATTGTTTTTCCAAAAATTTTGGGAAAGCAAGCCTTTTGGAAAAAAAAAAAAAAAACCAAAAAAAAATTTGGGGGGGGGGGAACCCCCCAGAGGGGGGAAAAGGGGCCAATTGTTAAAAAAAAAAAAAAAAACAAGGGAAAAAGAAAAAACCAAAAAGGGAAACCTTGGGGGGTGGGGGGAAAAACCCAAAAAGGAAAAAAAAAACCCCGGGAAAAAACCCCCCTTGAAAGGGGGGGTTTTTTTTGGAAAGGTTTGGGGGGGCAAAAAAAAAAAAAAAAAAAAAAGTTTTTTTTCTTTGGACCAAATTTTTTCGCGCGGAAAAAACTTTTGGGAGGTTATTTAAAAAAACAAAAAAAAAGGGAAAAAGAAAAAAAAAACTTGAAAAAAAAAAAAAGGGGGGTTTTGCCCTTCCCAAATTGGGAAAAAAATTTTTTTTGGCGGGTTTCTTCCCCACCTTTTTTTTGGAAAAAGGCCAAAAAAAAAAAAAAAAAAAAGGGGAAAAAAACAAACCCCCAAAGAAAAAAAAAAAAGGGTTTTTTTTTTTTTTTTTTTTAAATTTTTTCCCAAAAAAAAAGTAAAAAAAAATTTAATTTAATTTAAAAAAAAAAAAAAAAAAAAAAAAAATAAAAAAAAGAAAAAAAAAAATTTTTTGGCCCCCCCCCCAGAAAAAAAAAGGGCCCTTTTTGGGATTTTGTTTTTTTTTAAAAATTTTAAAAAAAAATTTTTTTTTTAAAATTGGGACCCCAACAAAGGGGGAAAAACAGCCTCCCAAAAAAAAGAAATAAAGCAAAGGAAAGGGGGAAAAAAAAAAAAGAGTGAAAAGAAAAAGAAAGGAAAAGTTTGAAGGGGATTGACATGAAGCAAAGTACAGTCAGCCCAACCCATTGGACTTGCAGCAAGGCCAGCTCCACAGATTGCTTTATTGATAGTGTATTTTATCCTTTTGGTAAACTCTTTGGTGAAACAAAGCCTGTTAAGGGTTATAGGGCTAGGGATCGTATATGTGAATAACAGTGTATTGCCGGCAGTTGATTTGCATTGTTGTAATGTAGGTGCCAGCGTTTTTAACGGGGAATGTAGAATGTGTTGAATTAAAAAAAAGGACAATATCTCTAGTTCTATGTGCAAATTAACCTCCAAAGCATTTATGTTGACGTGTGCTCTCTCCCCTTTTTTTAAGATGTTTTTTTTGTTTTTTTGCCTTAGAGATAAGATATGTGTATAGTCAGATTTTTAGCATACACAGGTTGTTTTGAATTAAAACAGGATGTAATATTCTATAAATATTTGGTTAAAGCAAGAAATAAAGTAAACCATGGCTATTTCTGACTAAACCCTGACTTATACTGGCACACATAAAGGGAGAACACTGATTCGTCATGATTGAAAATGATTATGTAGCTTCACATGTGGCGTAAGTTACAAATAAGCTCTTAAAATGTGCTTTTTTTATGCTCAGTAATCTTTTATGACTCAAACGTAAGCACGTTCAGAAAAAATTTATTTACTAAGGTTTCAAGTATAAAAGCGAGAACATTTTTATAAATTGTAAAACTCTGTGTGTGATCTTACACATGTACTGAAGGATAGTGTCACGTTGTTCTAGAGTTACACAAGAATAACTTCAGAGAGAAATGAAAGTGTAATAAAGTTTACTGCAAAGCCTTAACGTTATTTCAACAATGGAGCGGGGGAGGGGGCTGGGGTGTGACATGTCATACCACTGTTATGCCGATGATACACAGATCTACTTTTCTGCGAAACCCAATAACCTGAATCAACTTTCTCCATGAGTGCTTACTGGACTTGGACTGGATGTCTCTTAATTCTCCACTTAAATCCTGACAAAATCATTTTATTTGGCCCTGAAAACTTGTCACTGCAGTTGATCAGTTTATTGGACCATTACGCACTAATTTTAAACCCACTGCTAAGAATCTGGGTACCAAAGTTGTCCAGTCATGTTTCCTGCAGCTACGAAATGTAGCATGTTGTGATCCCTTGAGGGTGACTTCTGTTCTGCTAATTATCAAGACTTATCTCCACAACATTAAATTGGACTTGGATGTTATTAAGTTGGTAAAGTGCAATTGAGAAAAAAAAGCATGTGTATACACAACTTGAATTATTTGAGGTATAGTTTTAGTGATATTCTGCAAACAGTACTTTGGTCCACGCTGTCTCAAGATCGTCGTGAGCTGATTTTTAGCCTCAAATACATCCTGCAAATTCTGCTTCATCAGATGGAAGCTTCACTGGGTTGAGATTTAAAGAGCGTAGAGACTATTGAAGTGGAGTCACTTTCATGTTCGAGTGGCAGTGTGTTAATACACCCATCCTAAGATGATGGCTGGTAAATTGATGCATTGTCTTTTCTCACTCTTCATCCATTTAATTTTTGGTAGTCTGTTGCCCGTTCTTCATCTTAGCTGACAGGAGTCGAATAAGGCAGAGTCTCCTGCTGCTTCGTGTCCTCTGCTTCATGGTTACACAGTATGTATACAGGGATTATCTTTTGTTGCACTTTTGTAACAGACATTTCATCTTAAATATGTCTGGCCTGGTTTGTGAACTTCTCAAAAAGCATCTCCACCAAAAGAAGTATGAATGGCCACATATTGCATGCAGCCTTCTCTGTTAACTAGAAATGCTGTAGTGCACAAGAAGCTCCTTCTGAAAAGCGGAGATTACCACATCTTGTAGCAATTTACACACAGCTGATAAGCAATTAGTGTTGTATGGATCACATGTCTTACCAACTCTAATGTTTAGCCAAATAGTAACCGAATATCTTGACCCTGTCTGCATCCTGTCTGCATACATTAAGCTGCAGCTGCATGATTCACTGCTGGCTGTTGGACCAAAGCAGTGTGCTTAAAGGTGCCCTGTGGAGATTTCTTGTAAACAAACAAAAATTCAGTTTACATTTAGTCTTAATCCTGCCTTTGTCGGCGTGTTGCTACTTTTGTTGTTGCATTATCGCCACTTGTGGATCAGTGGAAAAGTGTGAAACCACTGGCAGGACATGTGACTGGTACTTTGTCACCTGTGTGCGTCGTGCACAAGACAAAAGTGGGGATCCACATACAAAATTCAAAATACAAGCACTCAAAAACACACAAAAATAAACTCAAAAGGTGGTATATTTAACAAATAATTGTTAATCCTTTGCAGACATTCATTTTCTGATGTCAGCAGCTCACACACATCAGCCGACACACATGGTATCCACATTGGATCTAGATCCTGTACAACAGCCAGCTTCAGTCCTCACTTGCTTTGGGGCTTTTTGACTTTAGTGGAACACAAGATCAGCTGGATTTGAGGTCAGATGTGATGTGTCCAGTTACAACCACTGGCTGCCTCATTTAGGACCTACAAGACTCCTTGGTTGCTTTTTCCTACACAGACATTCTTAAGTCCGACTGAAATTAAATTACATGTTCTCTTTCTATAAGAAATATAAGAAACCAAAAGGGAGAAATATATTTAATATATGTTTTTTCATGATGGTGCTGTTAGTTCTCAGATAGACCTTTTTCACAGGAGCCATTTGGACATGAAATAGTCGGGTTAACACAGATGGTAGCAGTGATACGAAGTAAGCTTCTGTTCCATTTAGTGTCGCAGAGACTTTCCAGTGAGACAACATGCACAATATCAGCACCCTGACTCTGTTTGACCTGAATTAGTATCACTGGTAACCTGTGTTTACCCTGATTTGTCAAAATGGTTCTCTAACTCTCTTAAATCTTCTTATTTAATTTACAAACATGAATACGTTGAATAAACCAATAAACAAACATTCACTGGGGAAAAGTGCACTTCTAATATCAGTTTGTAGGCTAGATAGCTAATTAGCTGCAGGACATTATGTCACTTTGGTCCATTTATATTCTGGTGTGGATCTTACTCTTCAATACCACTGCTTATAAAACACTGTGCGCCTGTAACATGAGCTTCGTTGCGAGTCTTTCATTTCCCTGCCGGAGCTCAGCCTGCCGGCTGCTGTCAATCAAACACGGGCATCGACACGCCACTTTTTTTCCATCCTTTTAATAACAATTTATTATTTAATGTAAGATTAAAAAACACATTATTTTTGACTGCAAAAGGGTGATGACTAAATGTGTTTTCAGTCAGATCTTAAAACTGAAAAGTCAGCCTCATCGCCATTCTTTCATTTCATGTTTTTTTTTTTTTCTTCAAATTTAGGAGAAATATGCCACTGTCAAAATATTTTGCGACTGCACTGTAGGACATTTGCCAATATTCCTGAAGATTATGTAAAGCTTTTCGGCAAACTTAAAGCATAAATGTCTTTCTAGTCTGTGCTTAATCACATTTTACACTTTTGTCTTTGTGTTGGAGGAGTAATGAATGCTGATGACAGATGCGGAGAGACAGGCCTGCAGATTCTGTTTATATTGTTTGAGGTTTGTTTCTTTGTCCTTGTGGGTGATTTTATATCCTGCTGTTGGAGGCATTTCTGAAAGAGTGACATGTCCCAGATACTGTAAAATAGATATTTGACTGTTGTTTCTGTCTGCACCATTTAAATATGGAGCTGAAGAAATGCAGTCTTCTGTTTGGAGGAGCTGACTGTTGTACGAGCAGGTGTACCTGATGATAAAGTAGCCAGTGTGTATGTATTAATGTCCTGAAGCATGAGTGCTAATCTCCATCTGCTTTATGAGTTTGTTGTCACTTCGTCACTTTCACTTGAAAAGGGATCAGTTATCAGAAATATTTATTGTATTAATTGAACAAATTGTATTGTATTTATTGAACAAATAAAGAAGCTCTGGAGATAAATAATATACAGCAACTCCCATTACAACCTTCTGCGACTGATTACTCAGGAGGTTAGGAATACTTGTATCTAAATTAATCACCCAGAAGCTATTTTTGCAAATGAAATGTCCCATAAATAGAATATTATTACATGGGAGGGACACATCTCTGCCAGGATGTGTATATATCATACCGCACAGTGTGTTCTCAGGCCGTCTGTCAAGCAAACTGCTGCAGATCCAATCAATATTTAATAAATTGTAGACATTGTTAAATATTGATAGATAATATGTGCCAGCCATTATTTAAAAATTCATCAGCCTCGCAGATGTTTTCATGACCAGGCAAGTAATATGACTGACTATTATTGAGCATTGGCTATTTATTTTTTAAAACACTGTAAAAAAAAAAAAATTTTAAATGTCTTACAGTGTCTTTGAAGTCAGGTAAAACTATATGGCTGGAATTTTTCCTACTGCTGTAACATTAAATAATTTATTCCTTAAAGCTTGTGTTAATGGTCATATGGTGTTATGTTCACTGTCACCCATAGTACAGGGAGTATAGTGTAGTAGCAGTAGCAGTAGCAGTAGTAGCAGTAGCAGTAGTAGTAGTAGCAGCAGCAGCAGCAGCCTCAGTCGTAGTAGTAGAAGTAGTAGCGAAATCACAATATGACCAAGGTCTAAATGGCAAGAAGCTGAAATTGTTTGATAAAGGTCAAGTTTGTGACAACAGGATTATAATAAAGCACTCAAGCTCTTAAGAGAGGACTAAGACAAATCCTGTTCTACAGATGGAAGAAAATGTATTTCTTTGGTACTACAGACCCCAATAGATGTCACATCATCATGATTTTAGTATTTGTTTTTTTCAGTAAAAAATAAAATTGTGATGCAAAAATCTGTCAAAATAATCACAATATGACGTTTTTACCACACAGAAGTGATTCACTTCCGGCCCATTAATATAATTCATTATCAGACACCTACAAAAACAATATGCTCAGAACCACTAATGACCAGTCAGTATATTTATGTTTATATTGTGTTTTTTTATTATTATTGTGCATTATATAAATCTGCACACTGTCTTTAGAAACCAAAACTGTGTCATTTCCAAGAGCACAAATTACAGGGTGTTGAAGCATCTGTAATTATTGTTATTACATTTCAAGCTACATGTGCTCTCAACATAACATAAAAACATATAAATGGTCAGAGAGCTAATATCTGACATCCTGTTGGGGCGCACAGCAGCTCTTGTTGGTCCAAACATGCACATGATGTATGTAATGGCGCAGAAGAGCAATTGTTACCTTTAATAGCATCGAAGCAAACATGACACGTCTACCAAAGCCTGTGTAGTGTGTATGTGGAGAGTAAGATCTAATCTACATAACACTCTGTTGCTGAACCATAAATGTCACATGAATATACAAAAATGATTTTGTCTGATGGGCTAAATGAAGTTTTGATCCAATAATAAGACACCAATGTTTTTGTGTGATGCACCAGATCAAAGAAGAATGTATGTCACATTAAAGCTTGGTGTTGCATTCATGCACCATAGAATTAAAGGAAAAATTTTGTTAAAGCTGCTGCTCAAAAATAAACTGGATTTTACCTACTTGTGCTTATAAATATGTATATTTCACATCAGAGTCTATTCCTTGAAGAGATGGGATACATTCTTGGTTTTGGGTCAGGCTAAAAATAAGAACTCAAAGTGGGGTAACAGGTGAAATAAATGTTGCAGTGCTGGGATTTTGCTGGTGACAGTGATGTGGAAACAACCCCGCAGATTCAGAACACACACAAAAAACAGAGCGCGAGAATGACAGATATCTACAGAGCTCATAATGGAAAGCAGTCTAAATACTGTATATGCACTCCAGCAATGTATATTGCTCAGTGCGATGTAATTACAACAGTGAATGTCTTGTTTGCATTTAGCCTGTGCATTTATGTTAAAAGCATTAGTCGTGTGGCAAATAATGAGTGAAAACACAGACATGCTTTACATCGCTGATATTGGCAATTCATGCACAATCCTAAATACCCCATGGGGAGATATAAATGTAATAGACAACACAAACACATTATTTAATTTCACCTGATTTCACTGCATTAGTACAGTCAGTGCTGTTTTTTACACATTCAGGGGGTATTTACTAAAACAGAAGACAAATTAAAAACTATTTAACATGTAAAATAGTCTGAACATCCAATCCTATGTGGCAATGCCCATTTTATGTATTGTTATTATATGTTTAAGAGATGTAAAAAGTAAAAGTCCTGCTCTACTCAACTCCCCACATGTACATAATGTATATATTGTAGAGCCAGTCCTCCTGTCTGAGCTTCAGTGTGACTCTGTGGCAGCTGAGGGAGAGTTATGGGAGCAGAGGGTGACCAAGAATTAAATATAGGGCAAGGATGGTCAAAAGAAAAAAGAGGGGGCTAATGGAATTTGAAGCTTTGGCATCATGCCAACATGGTTTAGGGTGCAGTCATTTATGTGACACCTGATCTTTCTCCCTGCCGTGGTTGTGCTCTGGATTTCTACAGCAAACTTAAAACATCCTACAGTTTATTCAGTTTTACTTGAAGCTTACTTGGTTTTGTGTTTGTGTGCTGAGGATAAGCTTGTGTTGTGGGTTTCTTCAGGGCCATTTTTTGCATTTATTAGCAGCTTTTACAAACAAAATACACAACATCTAAGACTATATACTGTATCAAACGTGATCTGATTTTATGTATTCGACTGGTATATTTTATATTAATAACAGTTTTACTATGACAGCAGATTTCTAACAGGGTTTTTTATTGGCTCATCATTAGGCAAAGGCCGCTACAGAATGGTAAAGACCACTGCTTGTCTAAGTAATGTGTGTTGGAGGTTTTCGATTAGCCTGTACTGCCACAATCATACAGCTCTTCTGTTGAGTGTATATCCAACTAAAAACTGCCCAAAACACAACTCCTAACTCCTTACCTTCATATTACCAAAACTTTAGCTACACCCAGTAAAAGGAACTGCTTCACATCTGCAGAACTGCACGCATTAAAACATTCTCAATATGAAAGTCAGCAAAAAAATACATAAATAGAAATATACATGGAGAATCACTAATAAAAACATATTTTTAATCTAATAATACAGCAGTGGTTTTATTTAGACACAGATAATGAAGTACTAGCCTCTGTTGGAATCTATATCTGCCACTGACAATGATTAATCTTCCTGTTATTTTCTTGGTTAACTGATATATCACTTGATCTATTCTTATCTGAACTATTTCTTATTTTAAACTCAAAAATATTCAATTTACTGCAATGCAAGACCAAGAAAAGCAGCAAATTTCTCACATTTTAAGAACCTGGAACCACTAAATGTTTTGGCATGATTTTCTAACAATTAATCAACTTATTTTAAAATAGTTTCGTTTAAAAAAAAATTTCTCATCAACTTAAATGTACAAGTACGGGGGTGTGTCACTTTGTATGTCTACTCTTATCAATGGTGGCAGAAGATTAAAACAATTCAGCAAAGTACATTGTTTTGCCTTAAAGCGCTTTGAAATATTTAGAGAAACCTAACTCCCAGCCATTCTTTTCTTTAGACAGGACTGTTCAAGTTGTCTGACGAAGAGTTTTTCATTCAACCTGTGGAGAAATCCAGTGACGAGTCCTCAGCACCACGAGCCCACGCCATCTACAAACGTCACACGTCCTCTCCCCACTGGAGTCCAGTCGTACAGCCCATCTCAGGGGAACCAAGCTCTCAACGGCACCTGTGGAATTAAAAAGTAAATCACTTTTCTGCTCACCACAACACACACACACACACAAACAACACAAACACACACACACACACACACACACACACACACACAACCACCATATTCAAAGTGACACTTAAATGTTTTACAATACCTAAAACGTGTTATTTCTTTACTTGAAATTCTGTATTAACATGCCGTCAGACAGCATGTGATGATCAGTCAGTATAAGTAGCCAACATTATGCCAAGGCTTAGCCACTAATTACACATTACACACTGAGCACTGAATGACAAGAATAAAGATGATAACTGATAAGATTTTCTTGTCTCTCTGACGACTCTCTCTCTCTCATCCTATTCTGCAGAGGTCAGATGAATAAAAACAATGAAGTTTCGTAGCTCATAAATCAGCTACTTAAAATTCTGAGTATGCTTAATTGACCCTGAAAGAAAACTGAGCATCTAAGAAAAATTAAGAAGATGGGCTTTGAGCTTGTGAATACATTATTAGAAATTTGCTCAGCTTCGGCCACGTGAATCAGTCACTTACAGCAATGTAGTGGTGTGTGTGTGTGTTTTAAAGGACCAATCAGGCTCTGCTATTTGTGGGCAGCTGCTGATGTGAATCAACCTGCGCACAGAAAATAATAGTAAAATAAATTAACTACAATGAATCAGTGCAGTTACTATAGCATTAGTCATGGATAGATAGATAGATGGAGATAGATTGGTAGATAGGTATGTGGGTGGATGTGTTGGATCAAACAGAAAGCTATTGAGACATATGTAATTATGCAAGATAAAGCTCCAGTATATAATATTCTACAAATTGTATCTAAAACTACTTTACAACAGGTTTTAAACAAGTTTTCAGTAAGTAAGTAAAATGTGGACTACTGATAATATCTAGAAGTTGGTAGCCTAAGAGTGGTTGATACAAATATATGTAATTTTATTTAACCAATGTTTATGGATAAAATAACCACGTCTGTTTTTGTCTCATCTAATGAATAAAAAAAATCAATATCAATATCATACTTAAATCCATGATTACCCACAATGTTTTGCAAAACTGCTCACGATGGCCTGATTAACCCAACCCCAGCTGAACACAAATGCTATTTCACAGCAATTTCCTGTTAACAATAAAATGACATCATTATAATTATCGTTACTAGAAAAGAATAACAGTCTTATGCAGTAAAATAACATCAAATATTGACACGAGATGGTTTAATTAGTATCGTAAAAATGTGAGGTCATTTCTATATACTATAAACTTCTTGATAAAATAATTCTGAGTAGATTAAATGATATATAGGGAAGGGAAAAGAATAACAGAATTAAGAAGGTACAGCTTAGAGTTTACAGGCAACATTGCAGATTCTATGAGACAGGAGAAAACGATGTAGGATGTTGTTTCTGGGTGTTATTCCCTCAAAAAACAGACAAAAAACATCCCTCATGTTACTGAAAGTGGGTAAACATGTTCTAATGTCATTTAGTTACATTTTAAGTTAAATTGATTTCCTATCATTTGTTATTTAAGCATTTAGGTAACACCTAATATATCAACTTAATATATATATATATAAAGAGAGGGAGAATAAGAAATGCAGACTGAGGCTATTTATAGGTTTTGGCCTTGATCCAAGAAAAATACAGAATATATGTGGCAAGTTAAAAAGTGGTGCGCTTGTTGGCACGCACTGTGCCTCTGTAAGAAAGTTTTAAATGTCTATTTATATCTCCCATCTCTAGATTCCCATCAAAGTTTTGAAGACATTGAGAGACAGCGGGAGCGGTGGGAGCACCGCCAGCAGAGACGAAGGAGGAGAATTCACCAACGCTCAGTCAGCAAAGAGAAGTGGGTGGAAACGCTGGTGGTGGCTGACCCTAAAATGGTGGAGTATCATGGGAGCAAAGCTGTGGAAAGCTATGTTCTCGCTGTCATGAACATTGTAAGTATGTCACATTTACATTAACATTTCCCTGCATCAAAATGTTGTTTGAATTCTAGTTTTATTAATAAACAACAATTATCCTCGATATTTTGTGATTTTACGGAGGGTCACATGCTAGAACTATTCCTTGGCTGGGAGCAGTGACTTCCTAGAGTCATCAGTCGTCACAGTGAGGCTGCCGGGCAACGAGTGGGGATTGAACAAATATATTAATTAGTGAGCTCTGGAAGTGCTGCCAGGCAGATTTTCTTGCCTTTGGATAGAGCATACAGACATAATAGTGGTATCAATCTTCTCATCCAACCCTCAGAGTTTTTCACAAATTGTCAAATCACTTTGACAACACACTGTGAATAAATAAAACACAAACCAACCGACTGGTCTGACACATACACAGCTCAGAGAAACACTGCCAGTCGTACACAACAATGGAACTAAATTAAAATGCAACAGAGGTTTTTGGCACTAACACGTGATGATTTTCTTCTGTGTGATCACTGTCAATGATTTTAAATTGGTTTGTTTTCATGTGATTAATGAGAGAGCTCCAATCGCTGAAATCACTGACTGCGTTTACATGCACACTCATCCTCCACTATTATTCTGAATATGACACTATTACACATTTGATAATGGTCATGTATTTTATATTCCTAATTAGGCCCTTAAGATTAAGACATGTGAGATATGCCAGTATTATTTGTGTTTTTTTTACTCCAACCAAAGAATATTATTAATATTAACTAATAAGGCCATATCATACAAAAGCAAAGGTGAACGTGTAGACAACATGTAGTTTTTCAGCATTAAACAGCATTAAATAAGTAATCTCTTTACAAAAATATGATAACCTGCAATAATCTGTAAAATCTCTGTTATTATACATTTTGTAATTATTACCAGATATTATTACGACTAATTTGATTACACAGTTAAAGCCAGCATTACAGAATCATTTCATAGATTGTAATTAATACTAAAACAATGAAATAATCCTTTCAGATGTTTTTGAATACAGACTTACAGGATATGAGAACATTTTGCCAGATGTTTTGAATGATACTGCTGTTTGAGACCAGATTCTGTTTCAGTTTTTCCATCCTGTGTCACGTAACACAATAGATGGATTAAACTTTTCTCATATATGTTGGTTTTTTTTTTCAACCATGACTCCCCAGCCTTCAACAATCAATCTTATTACCACCTCTTAGTTAGGGGTTAAGTAAACTGACTCCTTGTCTGCTATTGATTAGCGCATAAGTGTTTTTTTCCAGCCAAGTCTGCTCTGACTGCAGCTACTGAAAGTGCTATCAGAGGACAGAACATCAGGAAAGGGAATTCACTGACAGAAGCCTACGGATTAACTGACTTAACAGACAATAATACATGGAGGAAGCAGCCATTATCCCACACATCCTCTCATGGTTCTTTTTTTGAGTCCTCCGCACTCCTGCTTTGAACTTTAAAGCCCCAAACGGTTCAGTTTTGTGGAAACAATCTTGCACAGCATCAAGGGAAACAACCTCTTACCCGTGTCCAAACAATAAGTAATGGCATCATCTTCCTCAGGCAGCTGCTCCATTGTCTCACTACAGACGCTGTCTTGAAGTTTTCACTTCACAAGAGGTTCATATTTTTGTTCTGCTGTATTGTATGAACCCAGTGGTATGATTTACTGACACGTAACAGCCAGAGTAGTCAATCTCCGCAGAAAGAAATCGGACACCCACTCACAAAAATAGCTCCCAACATCGTTTCAAATGGTGATCTTACAGTTAAAATTGTATTTTCTTTGGGATATTTATTTTATGTCAGCAAACATGCAGATTGATGAAAAATGCAGGAATAATCAACCAAGCGCTGTTTACCCTTTAAGTAGGTGCAAATGTACGGCGTGCAGCTTGAGAGGAAACGTGAATCAACAGCACATTGTTGCAGAAAAATCCATGGGCTTTAAATAGCTGCAGTTTTATTTTTATTCAAAAGATTAACAATGGTTAGCAAAACAAATGGATAAAGATGGACTGAAACCATATTTAATGTCACCGATAAGCTTATAAAAGCTTTTGCAGAAGTTGATTGAGCCACAAGATGTGTAACACAAATATCTGTGAATGGACACTGTGAGAAACAAAGTTTTGATGAATTAAGTCTTTTGTGTCTATCAGAGCTGATCTGTCTGAAGTGCCTCAGTTACACAACTTGTACAGAAGGTTTAGTGTGTTGACATTTGGGTAAAAAATGAAAGGAATCTGACCAGTATTATATGAATGTTGCTTCTAACGCTGTATAGTAACTGAACGGTCACCAGACTGGAGTGCTTATTTATAAATGCTGAATAACGTGCTCTCTCTTTTGGTCCTTGGCATTAATCTTTTGCAGCTTCTTGACTATTTATTGAGTTCATCACACTTTATAATCATTCACTTTCACTGATATATTACAACAGCATCACGTTAGCTTCAGCTGAACAGATAAATACTCTTTTGTTGTGTTGAAATGTCGATGAAAAGCTGGAGCTTCATGAATTATGAAGCATGCATAATGAATGAATGAGAAATGAAAAGCCTATGAACTGCATGAATTATAGTGTAGAATGTTTTTTTGGGAGGCATTTTCACACCCACCACAGGACAAAAGATATGTGGCAGTAAATGTAGGCAGAGAATCCAACATACTACTACATCTTTGCAACATACTACTACATCTTTTTTTTTTTTTTTTTTTTCTTTTTCGGGTGGGGGTACACCACAAGAACCACCATGACAGACAATACAGGTTGGTGGATACACACAAAATTGCGATACGTTGTCACCGTCCCCTCAGGCATTTCCCTTGTGAGTTTAAAAGTCCCTTCATTCAAACATATGTTTTTCTTCAGTTTAGGATGTTTCACTGTGCCGTGGGTTGTTTTCACTGAAGTTAATGCACGTTTGACACCATGAAGGATGTTTTACTGTTCAGTGGAAAGTTTTCTCTGTGCAAACTTATACAAGTTGATGTCAGGAACACATGAAGCCACCCAATGCACTACACTGAGAGCTGGACTTTAAGGTGAGAGGGAGGAACTGGAAAGAAGGAGGAACTGGAAAGGAAGGTAGAACTTGACTATAGAATATAGATGTGAATATGATTTCATTCTATATCGGATATTCTCCTG